TCGGCGATGCTTCGCAGACTTCGGCGCGGCGAAAAATCGGGCTCCCACCGTGAGCCCAAACACCCTCCACTCCTCACGCTGTCCCGCCGGGTCTGGCAACGCCCCGGCGTGCCGACTCCCAGCTTCCGGGGCCGCGAGACTCTCGGCCCCGGGCTGCTGCTGGGTCCCTCTGGCACGGGCGGCCTGGACTCGCGCAGGCTCCACGCGCAGCGCCCAGCCGAGGCGCCAAGGCCTGCCCTGGCCGAGCCGCGGGAGCCACCAAACTTCCCATGGGGAGGCCGACGCTTGCTTCCGTCGGCGGTGGACAAACCTCCCTTTAGTAGACCTCCCCTTAGTGAGAACGGCCTGGGACCGAAACCGACGGACCTGGACCCGCAAAAATGACGGCCGCGACGCCCTCTCGCGAACTGAAAACGGCCAATTCCTTAGTCGACGTGTCAGGGTAGGAGGTCTCTCCGCCCCCGATTCCGCCACCTTCTGCTGGCTCGCCCGCCGCCGTGCTGCCTCCGCCGGCGCTCCGCCGAGGGCGAGGCGAGCCGATGCCGATGCCACCTCTGCTCCAGCCTCCGCTTGGGTGACCTGGGCCCCTTTTGGCGGCGCGCACAAGGGGGTGGAGGGAGGGGGAAGGGCTTCTTAGAAGGAGGCTGCTTCTTAGAAGGCGCCAGTCTTACATCTGTAGGTAAGGCCCGCGCCTTCTAAGGAGCAGGGGTGGTTCTCAGAAGCCCTCCCCCATCCCCCCACCCTCCTCTGCGCGTGGCTCACCCTTGCATCGCAGGCGGGCCACTGGAGACCACGGCGGCTCCGCTGCAAGTCGGTTCCGACCCGTGCTGCGAGGCGGGGCCACCCGTGGCGACGCGGCGCCTCCGGGAGGCCCAGAGAGGACGAAACGCGGAAGGCAAGGCCCCCGCTGTCTCGACCGGCCCTCCACCGTCTGCAGGCTCTGCCGACGTCGCCGAGGCGCCGCTGACCGCGCCCGCCGAGGCCAGCCCGACGATGCTCAGCACGCGTGTTGGCGCCAGCGTGTGACTGTCCACCGATGCTGGCTAACACGGGCTGCCTGACGTCGGCGGAACCGGACGGTAACCACCCACTGGGCTGCGGTAGGCTCGTGTCGCGACGGCCCCTGCGCTGATTTCTGACACCGCGTGGATCGTTCAGCCCTGAACGGTCGGCAGCTCTTCGATCGCAAGATCGTGCCATACTGGCCGATTCTGGACCAACTGCGGCGGTCAACCTCGAAAGCCCGCGGCTGGTCGCCGCCGCGTCTGCACAACACGAGCGTGCCGCAACCGAACACTGTCGGCACGCCCGAAATTAGTACGACAAAATAGGTGCGGCGGGCTCATGTCGTGACGACCCTGGCGTTGGTTCCTGACACCACATGGATTTTCCAACGTTGAACGACCGGCCGTTTCCGAAACGCCAGATCGTTCAACATCGACCACTTCTGGGTCGCCAGCGGCGTTCAACGTTGAACGCCAGAGGCGGGGCCGTCGCCGGTCGACACGACACGATCCTGCCGTACCGTGCCCAACAGCAAATGTTACCCCACATCGAGCGCGGCCGCTGCTGGGCTGGCGCCTTCTCGTCCCAAGTGGACAATCTCCGCGGCGACACCGACGGCAAGAGTCCCGTTCAGAAGAGACAGCATCTGCTGTCGGGCTTCGGCCCCGCTCTCTCTGGACCCCTGTCGTTCGTGACGAGCAAAGGGCTACGCTCGGGAACCTTCTGCTCAGCGTGTCGCGGTGGCGGGAGGTCGGGACAGGCTCACGACGGTGACGCCTCGGGGTTGGGGTATGGATAGCGTGTCGCGCCGCAGCGTGGCGAGCCAGCACCAGCAGTGCGACACGCTACAGTCGGGGCGTTGACCTAAGGAACCCTAAATTAGGAACGAGGCCCCTTTTTTTCCATAAGATAAACTTCGATTTCCGATGGAAAACATAAAGGAAAACCTGAGGCAAGCTGTGAAACACTTAAGGAACGCGGAGCCCCTCCCCAACCAAAAGGGCCCCGACTGTAAGCCAACATTCCTAACCGTAATTTTTTGTCGGCAGCGCTGGCGGACGCGAGCGCGACTGCAAGGCCGGCGGGACGCGCCGGGCGCTGGGCGCACTGGAGAGCAGAGACTCGCCATCGCTCGGACGTCCACTCCCTGTGTTTTTTGTCGGTTTCGTGCGTGGTTTTTTCGCTGAACGATCATGGATGCTCCTCGATGGCCCTCGCCGACAAAAAACATGCACAGGTCCGAGCGATGCCAGGGAGAGCGGCCGCGGAGGCGGAGGAGGGGATGAGGCGGCCCAGCCGAAGAGAGTCAGCGGGAAGCGGGCGCTGCAAATCGGCGGCGCGCCCGGGGGGGAAGCGAGAGGGGGCAGGCCTGCTCAAAGGCTCGGAAGTCAAGCCTTCCCCGAGTATGCAGAATACTCCTCAGAAGGCGCGAGGGCTTCTGAGAAGCCCCGCAGCCTTCTGAGAAGGCCGTCTCCTTCTCGCTTCTACCCTCGCTCGCCGCCGAGCAAAATCCCGCCGACCCAAGTGCTGATGATCATCGACCAACTATCCCTGGGAGGGCGCGATCACGGTGAGCGCCGTGGTCGCGGGCCGTTCCCTTGTGGCGCGCCCACTGCGGCGCCCCCCTCCGCAAAAGGCTGGGCGCGCCACGTCCGTGAGGCGGGCCTCCTCGAGCCAGGGGTCCAGGTTCCGCTCCTGGCGCCCCCGTCCCCTCCCCCTTCAGCCCTCCCCCCTGCTCCTCCCTGCTCCTCTCTGCTCCTCCTCCTCCTCCTCCTCCTCCTCCTCCTCCTCCTCCTCCTCCCTCCTCTCCTCCTCCTCCTCCTCTCCTTTCTCATCCGTCCCCGCTCCTCCCTCGCTCCTCCCTCCTGCTCCTTTTCCTCCTCCTCCTCCTCCTCCTCCTCCTCCTCCGTCCTTTCTCCTCCTTCGTCCTCCTCTTCCTCGTCCTCTCCTCCTCCTCCTCCTCCATCGTTTCTCCCTCTCCTCCTCCTCCTCCTCCTCCTCCTCCTCCTCCTCCTCCTCCTCCTCCTCCTCCTCCTCCTGTTCTGCCTCCTCGACAAAAAACGACGCGAACACGCTTGTCCGCGACACCGGTCACGTACGCCACCGCATGCCCACAGGGGGGGCAGAGGCGGGTGACGCCTCCGTCCTCCTCCTCCTCCTCCTCCTCCTCCTCCTCCCTCCCTCCTCCTCCTCCTCCTCCTCCTCCTCCTCCTCCTCCCCCCTCCCTTCTCCCGCCTTTTTCGTCCCTCCCCCTTCCTCCTAATCCCTCGTCCCCTCGCCTTCCTCCCTCCTCCATTTTCCCTCCTCCCCCCTTCCCTCCATTTTCCTTATAATTGACTCCTCCCCATCACCTCCTGGGGCCAGTCGAAAAGGCGGGCTGGGCGTTTCGCCTGAGCGTGAACATTGGCAACAATTTCACGGATGGAGGGCGGGTGGTTTTGAACATGTGGCTCTCGCTGAAGTGCCGCGCGCACTCGTCTTCAAACTTTGCAAGAGCTTCATGAGAGCGGGCCGGTTAAATCGCGTGACTCCCGCTTAAGCGCCGCACGCACTCGTCTAACAATGTACAAGCGTTTTTACGGCTCGAAGGATGGCCGTTTTCAACATGTGGCTCTCGCCTTAGCGCCGCGCGCATTCGTTTTAAACAGTTGCAAGAGTTTCACGGATTGCGGGCGGTTCCTTTTCAAAATGTGGGCTTCGCCTTAGCGCCGAACGCACTCGTCTTAAACATTTGCAAATGTTTCATGGACTCCCATGGTCAGCGTACCAGACATGGTGTTTTGGAACAGCTTTAGGATTGCCAGGGAGCAGCAGTTACGTTGATTCGTGGTGATGAAATCTCAGGAGTGGCGTTCAGGGTCGCCAAGACGCAACAATCAAATTCATTCGTGGCGTTGACGTCCCGAGAATGCTCTTTTGGCACGCTTCAGGACCTTCCAATGGTTGTCTCCCAACGGGGCACTTCTTTCAGTGGTAAAGAACTGTGGGGGAGAGAGGGCGGTTTTGGGGGGAGGCAGCTTGGGGGGAGGGTTTCTTCCAACATCGTTGACGAGTCTTCGGCTCCCCCTCCTTTTTTCTTGTGCAGGCGGGGCACCTTCTGCTCTACAAGTACACATGATCAACTCGACCCTCCTCTTTTCACTGGCTCCGTTCAGGAGATGGTCGGCCTTCTCCGCGCACTGTTCCCACATGCAAGATTTAATCATTTTTGTTGTTTCCTCTGCTGGGTCTTTACATCCAATCGTTTCCAATGTTAGGGGACCGCATGCGAACCCCACCCCTGCCCCCCACGATTTCTGAGGAGGGAGGGTGGGGTTCACTTCGCTTTTTTGTGTTTTTTCCTCTGATGGGTCTTCACATCCAATTGATTTCTCGGCGGTGGACAAACCTCCCTTTAGTAGACCTCCCCTTAGTGAGAACGGCCTGGGGCCGAAACCGACGGACCTGGACCCGCAAACATGACGGCCGCGACGCCCTCTCGCGAACCGAAAACGGCCAATTCCTTAATCGACGTGTCAGGGTAGGAGGTCTGCCCACCCCCGATTTTCAATGTTTCAAAATGGTGCTCCCGCTGCAGAGGTGGGCCTCATCTTCGGATCGGCGCTCTGCCCCCCGTTTGTTCGGACCGGCCCGCCCGCCACAGAGCGGGCCACCTGTCTGGACCCGAATCCTTCCTTCATCGCTGCCGCCCCCCTCCACTTCCCCTCCTCGACCTTCCCCCCTTCACTTCCCCTCCTCGACCTTCCCTCCTCGAATCCTTTTTTCATCGTTGCCGCCCCCCTTCGCTTCCCCTCCTCGACCTTCCCTGGTCCTCCTGCTCTTCCCGCTCCCTCTACTCCAACTCATGCTGCTGCTGTTCGTCCTCGTCCTCCTCCTCCTTCGTCCTCCTCCTTGTTCCTCTTGCTCATCCGCCAACTCCTCTTCAAGGTGTGAGCGGCTCCCCTTTTCCGTTTGCGCATGACACGACCGAATCCTTTTTAGAATTCCAGGTCCGCTATGACACGCGCCAGCGGATAAGACGAAATCAACGCCAAAGAAAGGGATGCGTGGGAGCGGTAGGATGTCAGACATGGCGCGAGCGCACCAAGCCTGCCTCCCCTCCTCTCTCTTCCTCCTCTCCTCCTCCTCCGAGACTGCAGTGTGGGCGCGGGCGGACCTCCTCCTCAAATTCCTCCGCCTCCCCATGTCACCGCGCTGGGCATCGCTCGGACGTCCAGTCCCTGTGTTTTTTTCAGTTTCGTGCGTGGTCTTTTCGCCAAGTGATCAAGGATGCTCCTCGATGGTCCTCGCCGAAGGAAAAATGCACACGTCCGAGCGATGCCAACCGCGGGGGGCTGCCACACATTTGAGCCGTGAAGACGTCGGCGTGTGTCTCCGACACCGCAGCGACGCCGACGCCGCTGCTGCTGCACTCTCCGCCCCCGCGGGCGTCTGGCCATCGCTCGGACGTCCATTCCCTGTGTTTTTTTCGGTTTCGTGCGTGGTTGTTTCGCCAAGTGATCAAGGATGCTCCTCGATGGTTCTCGCCGAAAGGAAACATGCACACGTCCGAGCGGTGCCGAGGCGTGCAGCAATCACGACAGCGTGAAACATCCAACTGGGCCCCACGGCGAGACTTCTCGAACCAGACCGATCCTTGAGCCCCAGTGCCGCAAACAGGGCGACGACGCCCATCGTGACCCTTTCGCGACGGACGTGTGTCGACGTCCTCCCACGTCGGACACCCACAAATCATCGCTCGGGGCCCTGTGGTGGGTCGCGACGGTTAAATCCGCCGACCCCCTTGCGGAGCCACCAGGCTGCGATGAGGATTGTAGCTCCCTGTTCCAATTGCAGTTTCCAGTTTCCACTGTTACAGTCCTGCTTTCTGCTTCATTGCTGCTAATTGTTGCTGAGCGCGCGGGGGACAGCCCCAAACCAGTTTTTTTTACCACGCCCAAGTCGCGTTGTCTGAATTCCTGGGGGGGCGTGGTACACGTAACAATACATGATATTCTCGTCCCCGAGGCCATAATCCCTAATACAATACGCCATATTCGCGTCCCCGAGGCCTCACTCCGCAGTACCCACCAGCAGCCCTAGAAAGTGGCGACAATGTCGCATATCGCAGCCCCCCCAGGGATGGCGAGGTCTCGCTCAGGTCTGCGCGGTGCCTCACTCCGCAGGGCCCACCAGCAGCCCTCGAAAGTGGCGACAGTTTCGCAGAACGCAGCCCCTAGATCACAAGAGGTACACACATGGCAAGAGCAGACAAGAGGAAGGCGGGGAGAGGCGGGAGGCGGGAGGAGGACGCGACCACAGTGCTCTCTTCAAAACGAATACCCAACCAAGGAGGATTGGGAATAAACCTTATTCCAAACTTATTCAAACATAGTGGAAAAATCGTCTCCATACCATGTTTTGACTATTTTTGGATATCCCTCCTGTAAAGGGACACGCCCGACTTAAGAAATTAACTGGTCTCACGATGCCTGAAAGAAGTCCCCTCCGAGGCCCTCCGCGGGAGCGCTTCGCGGCGCAGGGCGGCGGTTGCTGGGGCCGACGTCCCTGACGGAGGCGCCCCCGCCCCAGGAGAGGAGCACGAAGAGTCACTGCACCGACCTTGCAGACGTGCTCCAACGGATTCTTGCGTGGATTTCTGTCAATGCAAAATCCCGAAACGGCGAGCGAAACACGAAGTGAATTTCACGTGGATTTTTTGGTCTTCATTCCTTGCCAAAAACAAGCCCGCACGACATTCACTTCGAAATCCGGAGCGGAATTCTCCAGGACACTCCAGGCCCATCCTATGGTTTTCCGACCGAAATCCGCCCTGCGATGTTGGCGCCATCAGAGGGAGGGGGCCCCGAGAGGGGGGGAACTACTCGAGGGCGGAGGGCGATGGAGGCGGGAGGGGGAGGAGGCCTCGGGCAGCAAAACGCCTGCCTTCCCCACCCCCTACCCTTTCAAATTCCCTTGGAGCCAACTCTTGCCTGCTGCCCCTCCTCCTTTTCCACCCTCCTCCGGTTATCCTCCTCGTTGCGCTCCCCTCCGTAACTCTCCCCCTCCCGCCCCATATCGTTCGGGCTCGACGGCCCCCTCTGTTGCTGCCATCCCGGCTTTTTCCGGCAGCGCGGCCTGCCTAGCATCGTCAGGGGTGAGGGCGGGCCAAAGGCGGGTCAATGAGGGCGCGGCGTAGGGGGAGGGGGCAGGCTTGACATGCAGCTGCCCTTTGCGACTACCAGAGGCACGAAAACAACGCCGACAATGCATATACTAATTCATTACACGCATTGTGAAGGGTGCCATTGACAAAGCAAACAAACATACTCATGGAAACACAGGGCATGTGGAGTGACCCAGGAAGCTCCTGACGAGGCGCAACCTTTGGAACACAACCTTAGGCACGCGTACGGCAAGTGCATGCATGTCGTCTCGACGTCGGCGTTGGTCTCTGACACCGCCTGGACCGTTCGACCCTGAAGGATCGCCGCTCTCCGACGTCGCATATCTGCCAAACCAGCTGACTGCGGGGCAACTGGCAACGTCCATCCTTGCCCGCCTGCGCCGGGGTTGCCGCCGCGTGGACGCGGCTCCATAACAGTCGCTTGTGCGGGGTGCCGGGTGCGCCGGGTGCGCCGGGTGTGCCGGGTGTGCCGTGTGCCGGGTGCGTGGGGTGCGCCGGTTTCGCCGGGTGCGGGGTGTGCCGGGTGCGC